TGTATGCCTCTGCAATGGAAGCCTCAATTTTGCATTTATTTCTATATTTCTTTCGAAGAACCTTTAGACATCTCTCGATTGGATAGCACCAATGGCCCTGCATGGGCCCCCCATTCGTACCTCATACGGGAGGTGCAAAATCAAATGCTGCATCGGATTGAAGAAGCTGGGTGGAAAGATCTTCTCCAACTTACAGAGCAACACAGGTGCCATTCTTTCCAAGTCAGCAATCACGGTCCGAGATAACTCCTTGGCACAAAGCTGACGAAAGAAATAGCTCAACTCTGCCAGCACTAGCCAGACATGCTCAGGGACATAGCCTCGAACCATCACCAGAAGAAGTCGCTCAATCCATATGTGGTAATCATGACTCTTCATCCCTAAGACTCGCATAGTAGATAAGTTCACTCTCCTCCTCAGATTAGCTGCATACCCATCAGGGAACATTAACGTCTGCATCCATTCTAGTACTTCCCTCTTTTGGGGCTTGCTCAAGACAAAATCGGCCTTAGGCCTTCTCCATGTCTTGCCGCGACTAGGAGGCTTCATATGTTGGTTTGGTCTATCACATAACGTTGCCAGATCCACTCTAGCCTTAACGTTGTCCTTTGACTTGTCAGGAATGTCCATGATTGTTGCCCAAAGTGCCTCGGCGATATTCTTTTCAGTGTGCATTACATCAATGTTGTGTGGAAGGAGAAGGTCCTCAAAATAGGGAGCCGAGTCAAGCCTGACTTATGAGTCCACATATGTTGCTCTCCATATCCCACAAAACCACCTTCTAGATTGACCACGAGACCATCTATTTGTTCACGAACCGCAGCACCAGTCATTATCGGTGGTGTAGGGTCTGTCACTACAACACCTTTCATAAAGTTCTTAATGTCTTGTCTGAATGCATGGTCAAGAGGGAGGAATTGCCGATGTTTGTCGAACGATGAATACTTACCACCCTTCTACAACCAAATGAACCTCAGACCTTCCTTGCATACTAGACATGGAAACTTCCCGTGAACACACCAGGCGCAGAATATCCCATACGCCAGGAAGTCATGCAGGGAGTAGTGGTACCAAACATGCATTTTGAAGTTTTTCTTTGTAGCTCGGTCGTATGTCCATACCCCTTCCTCCCAAGCACGGACCAATTCATCAATCACAGGTTCCATGAACACACCCATATTATTTCCCGGGTGTTCAGGAATTATCAACGACAGGAATACGTTCTGTCGTTGAAAGCATACGCCGGGGGGGAGATTGAGGGGGATAACGAACATGGGCCAACATGTGTATGGGGCAGCCATCATTCCATAAGGATTGAACCCATCTGTTGCCAGTGCAACACGTACATTACGGGCCTCTTTAGCTTTCTCATGATGAATGCCATCAAAGTGGGTCCATGCTTCACCATCGGATGCATGTACCATCATGTCAGGATTGTATCGTTTGCCATTTTTGTGCCATGTCATCTGTTTCATGGATTCCTCGATCATGTATAGCCGTTGGATGCTCGGTATGAATGGAAGGTGCCGTATGATTGTTACGGGGATGTCAAGTTGCCTCTTCTGGCCATCACCAGAATCTACCTCCAGGAACCTAGAGGATTTACACTTTGGACAGTACTTTGCTTCCACGTATTCTTTCCTAAATAGGACGCACCCCTTCAGGCAAGCATGTATCTGCTCATACGGCATCTTAAGTGTACGAAGGAGTTTCTGTGACTTGTGCATGCTCTTTGGCAGAAGGTGACCCTTCGAAAGCAGGCTGCCAATAACTGTCAACATACCATCGAAGGCGTCTCGACTCAGGCTATACTAGGACTTTAACGCCATTATGCGTCTAATGGCATCCAGTTGAGAAACCTTTGTCTGGCCGTGAAGGGGTTTCTGTGCCGCGGCAAACATGTCGTAGAACGCCTTTGCGATTGCCTCTGGCTCCTCCTCCGTACGCCCTTCAGCGAACTGTGCCTCGTGATAGTCATTTAACATGTCTGCTACCCCCGCATCAGCATCATAATCCTCGACGCGTGGTCTCACCACCTCCTCTCTCATACGATCGGCTTCACCATGGTAGACCCACCGGGTATAGTCTGCCGTAAATCCATTCTTCCAAAGATGTTCCCCCATGACCTTCTTTGTTTGTCTTTTCCTGTTTGCACATTTGCTGTAGGGACAACAAATTTTAATCACTCCTTTAGCAGCCACGCCAAATGCCTATTCCAAGAAAGCATCGGTCTTGTCGATCCATTCATTGGTGACCTGACCCTGACTTGTGCGGCCCATGTACATCCACTCATGGTCCTCCATCCTCTAACATATATAGCAATGAGTAATACAAACATCAATTGCATCTACATGACGTTCCTACTATCTAATAGGTGAGGATAGGTCCTAATCCCACGTGATGATGCGTAGGTGGGGTTACTTTCCATGCTCTACTCCTATCCAAGATAGAATTTCGGTAGCACCTCCCCGCAGTTCTCCAAATACACGTCCTGCCAGGGAGAGTGTGTATCCGGAGAACAACAGGGAGATGATGCCGAAACTCTATCTCGGATCGGTGCAGACCATGGAAACTAACCCCACCTACGCATCCGCGGGCTGTCTAAAAAATGTGGACAATTCAAAACAGATACGGTTTTAGATATGGAAATATCTGCATATTTCCAACCGTATCTCTTTCGAATGGGAGACGCCTAACTGGGTTACGTGATTTACGACCATGATACGGAAAGAGGGGTTATACCTTGGGTGGCGGTGGAGTTAGGCTAGCGGGGCCGTGGTGGGTCGGTGGAGTGGCGAGGCGACACGGTGCAGGCAGACCCGCAGCAGCAAGGAAGGCGATCGAGGTCGCCGAGGTACTCCGGCTCCGCTCCGACGGGCTCTTCTCTACAAAAAAAGAAACATAAAACTGTCAATACAAAATTTCGGCAGCACCTCCCCTGCACGGTGATGTTTCCAAAACCTGCAAGAAAACTAACGGCACAATGGCCGACATGCACATATATATGAACGGCACGATGGCCGACATGCACAAGATTATATCCAATCACATATATATAACAATGTCACAACCACTCCTACGACTACCACCACTGCTACTCTACCACTACTACTACCGCAACTACTAGTAAGACTATGTCGACGATGACAGTAGGGCATACCTAGTGGGCGTCGTAGGGCAGCGGTGGTGAAGGGGCCAGGGCGCCGGTGGAAAAGGCGACGGCTGGGGAAGCGCCAGGGACGGCGCGGGCGTGGGCGGGGGCGGCGTGGACACGGGCGGGGCTGGCGCCTCCTTCTTCTTCCTCCTTCCTCCTTCCTCCTCCTCCTCCTCCTACTCTTCCTCCTTCCTCCTCTCCTCCTCCTCCTCTCTTTCTCCTCCTCCGGCGGCGCGGGGGGCGGCGCGGGCGGGGGCGACGGCAGCGGCGGTGGGGCTGGCGCGGCGGCGCGGGTGGGGGAGGCGGCGGGGCTGGCGCGGGCCGGGGCGGCGGCGTGGGGTCATATTCAGTAACAAGATTGAGCTGAAGCCTGCAAGTAAAGCAAAATGATCACATCAAGGCATCCCCAATTCACAAACACTAGGCGAGTCAAATTCAGGCAGTGATGTTCAGATCTATCAACAATTTGACTGCCACTCGAACCAAAACCATCTCTCTTTCTCTCCTTTTTCCCCTAAAGCATTTCGCGTACTGATCCACACTCAATAGCCCAAGGCGACCTCAAATCTCTAGTTAAATAAGCTCAACCATGTCGCGAAGAGGCCGACTTCGGTTTGCAAGAATCGTACGTGACAACTTGCGCGAAACCTCCTTAATTTTTTATCACAGCCTCCACATATGATATCTTGACATCTTGACAAGTTTCATGATTTTCGGACTTCGTTTGCTTTTTATAGAATTTAAAAACAACTGGACCGCAAGTTCGTGGTCATGTTTCGTGAACAAGATGTTCGAAATTGGTGGTCTGTTCCTGGATACGGCCTCACATTATACTAAATAACATGAATATCATTTTCCATTCATTTTTTTCACTATTCGAATGACTAGCAGTTATAATTTGAATTATCTAAGAAAATTCAATTAAATAAAATAAATTAAAGAAACATAGAAAAAGTGCGAGAAATGTGCCACATTGGAACATGGAGTACCAGGTATTGTCTGAGGACTGCAGAAAAAGTTTGAAGGTCAAAAGTAAAAAAAAATATAGTTTACCGAGTGTCAAAAAATGACACTCGGCAAAGGAGCCTCTTTGCCTAGTGTTAGGAGAAGACACTCGGCAAAGGATTAACGGCGGCTGCTGGCCGTTAACGGCGGCGGCCCTTTGCCGAGTGTTATTGTTTGACACTCGGCAAACTTGGTCTTTGCCTAGTGTTATTCCTTGCCGAGTGTTCGGCACTCGGCAAAACCACTTTTTTGCCAAGTGTCATTTGTTTGCCGAGTGCTTTCTATCTGGTACTCGACAAACAACCTCTTTACCGAGTGCCCGATGAAAAACACTCGGCAAAGTCTGGAACACTCAACAAAGAAGCCGTCTCCGGTAGTGTTTGTGGATACTTGGTAGGTTGGTTCAGATAGGACCTCAATCACTAATGGTGATCTTCTAAAATAAAGCTCGGGGGTCCATCAACTCAAATACAATTAGTTTTCGAACTAAAACCTCGCCTAGCTGTCTCATGCGCTACTTGATTTGCATTCCTTTGACACTGTTTAATGAAAATATCACTGAAGTCCCTCCGCAACAAATAGCTTTTATCATAAAAATCGCAGCCGCTGAAGTTGCCGAAAATCCTACGTTCTCCATGGTTTCAACCACCAATAAACAATCTGATTGAACGATTACAGTTTATTTGCAAAAGTAGATAATTACTTTGAACAGAATGTCCTTACAACATCAACAAAGTAAAGCTCGATAGCCTCGATTATTGAGAGTTGGGTTGAAATTGAAAACACACACACACACAACTGAAACAGGAACACCTCATCAATCACATTATTCCAGCCATTGTCATGTATCCTGAGGAAACTTTCCTGCAGGGAGCACTGCACCTTGATGGAGTGCATCGCAGAGTCTCTGCAAGGACACATACGATGAGCCGCCCTCCTCGACGGCCATCCGGCAAGCCGCCTTCATCTCCCTCTCCTTCTCCCTCGCCGCCCTCCCCTCGGCGCCTCCCATGAGAGCTCGGACTGCCCGCTCCAGCTCGGCAGCCTCCACGAAGCTGTCCTCCTTCCTACGCAACTCCATCGCGACAGCGACCCCCATGCCGCCCACCTGCAGCGTGAAGGCGTTGTAGTGCTGCTCGGCGGCCCACGGCCACGGCAGCATGGGCACGCCGAACCACAGGCTCTCGAGCACCGAGTTCCAGCCGCAGTGCGTGACGAAGCCTCCGACGGCGGCGTGCGCCAGGATCTCCTTCTGCGGCGCCCACTTCGGCCACACTAGCCCCCTGCCCTTGGTCCTCTCCGAGAACCCCGGCGGGAGCAGCTCGGCCAGATCCCCGTCCGAGGACAGCCTCGTCCCGTGCTCCGGCGGCCCGCGCAGCACCCACAGGAAGCGGTGGCCGCTGCGGTCCAGGGCGTGCGCGGTCTCGTGCGCCTGCCGTGCGGTGAAGAACCGCACGCTCCCGAAGCAGAGGAACAGCACGGACGCCGGCGGCTGCGTGTCGAGCCACCGCACGGACTCGTGTTCTTCCTGTTGCTGCCCCGCGTCCGCGGGCGGCGGAGTAGTAATGGTTGCGGCGAGGACCGGCCCGACGGCGTACACCGTCGGAGCGCGGTTCCCGCGTGTGCACCGGCCGTCAGCGATGGCCGCGAGCACGTGTGGCTCGAGCTCGGCGACGGTGTTGACGATGATGCCGGCGGCTTCCGGGTAGCGCCTGCCGTTGTACAGGAACCACCTGTACGTCGGGACCTTCCTGTCCACCAGTCCCGACGGGAGGCAGGACGCGGGCACCGGCGGGAGCCCCGGCACGTGCACCGCACCGCCGTCCATCTCCTCGAACTCGACGTCGCCGGCAGCGGCGGCCTCCTCGTCGAGCGCCGGGGAGCGCAGCAGGAGCGCGCACATGGCCGCGCTGCATATGAGGTACACGTAGGCGGGCACCCCGAGGCCGTGCGCCGCGTCGAGCAGCGGCGTGCAGAAGATGTCCACCACGAGCGCGGCCACGGGGCACGCCAGGCCGGACACGGCCGCCCTCACGTGGGGTACGTACGGCTGCATGTTGAGGGAGATGAACTCCTCAGGGCCCGAGTAGGTGGCCACGGGCGGGGGCTCGGCTGCCGGGACGTGGTGGAAGCGGATGGCGAGGCTGAGGCCGGCGGACTCCTTCTCCACCTCGCGGATGTGGTCAGCGATCTCGGACGCGCGCTTCTCCGTCGGCGCCGGCAGGATGAGCACGGTGAGCGAGAGCGGGCGGCTGCTGCGCGCGAGCAGCCGCTTGCCGGCCTCGATCATGGGCACGAAGTGGCCGACGCCCCAGACGGGAACCAAGACGACGGTCGGGTCGGCGCTCGTCATGCCGTGGTGGTGTTCGGTTCGGATTCGGGGTGGAACGGAAGGAAAGACGACGAGCGAGGAGCGGACGGGGAGTGACGAGGAAAGAGTGAGGAGTAGAGACGGGAAAGAGAGAATGGGCCTGGAATCCCGCGATTCTTGTCACCGCGAAGTGGGGCCCTGGCACGTTAATTAATGCGTTCACGCTCCAGGGCCAGGGCTGCACCGCGAAGCTTTGTGCCTGTGACAAAAAAGTTTCATAGTGAGCGGGCTGGCACTGGGCTGCCAACAGGCCGCGAAGCGGTTGCTGCGGGCGGAAGAAAGAGACGGAGACTGTGGGCTCTGGATGGGCCGTCTGTTCGGTTGGGCGAAAAGAGCAGAAAAGAAAAGGAAAGTGTTTTCATTTTCTGGATTCTGCAAAACTTACCCTACACTACAAAAAAAAATACTATGCACCAGCGTGAGTGTAACAAAGGTGCTCCTATGCCTTATGTTTAATTAGATTTAGTTAATTGCTCAAAAATGTTTCCCTCCTAACTATTCTGACAACTAAACACCGGTGAAGAATTGTTTCCCTTAGCAATCTCTTCCTTCACTTCAGTGATTCTAAGCAAATATTAATGAAGAGCAGAGGTTGAAGATAACGGTATAAACGACATTTCTCTCACCTTCTCTCTATTTGAATCCTGAGAAATGAATAAAATAATCGACGCAGTGTGTTACGACAAATGGACACGACTTTGTAATGACACTGGGCAAATTCCGCTCCAGGTGGCGTCCATCAGCATATTACGCATTTTAACGGTGTCATGTAGCAAAATTTCCCTAAAACTACAGAACGACTAGCACTCGAACGTCACACCCGCCCCCGCCCCGCCTGCTGCACCCGTCCCGCTCGCCCCGCCTGCCCCCAAAAAAGTCTGCCCCGCATGCAACTTTGCGCCTACAAACCCGCCCCTGCGTGCTAGTGCGCCTACGCATGCAGTTGTGGGGACTGCTACGCACGAGGGGGCCACATCTGCATGCGCCCACTTCTTACGCCTGCTAATGTTGCAACATTAAAGCACTTCCGCAACATACGTCTGAAACAGGTGAAACATTTACAAACATACGTTTGCAACATATGTGTATAGCAACTACAACATCCAGATAAACACATTTGCAACATATGTCTGAAACAGATGAAACATTTTGAATAGACGCTTGCAACATATGTCTGAAATATATGCAATCCTCTACCCAAGTCAACTTCGGTCTTCCTCTGCCTCTCTTCACGTTACTATCCTGGCGTAGGATTTCACTACACACCGGTGTCTCTGGAGGTCTCTGTTGGACATGTCCAAACCATCTCAACCGGTGTGGGACAAACTTTTCTTCAATTGGTGCTACCCCTAATCTATCACGTATATCATCGTTCCGAACTCGATCTCTTCTTGTATGACCGTAAATCCAACGCAACATACGTATTTCCGCGACACTTATCTGTTGAACATGTCGTCTTTTCGTAGGCCAACATTCCGCACCATACAACATAGCAGGTCTAATTGTCATCCTATAAAACTTGCCTTTTAGCTTCTATGGTACCCTTTTGTCACATAGGACACCAGATGCTTGGCGCCACTTCATTCACCCTGCTTTGATTCTGTGGCTAACATCTTCATCAATATCCCCGTCTCTCTGTAGCGTTGATCCTAAATATCGAAGGGTACGACTTTCATCTCCATTAGAATGGCTAGATTTAACGTTGGCTCGCCACTCCTATCACAACCCTCCTCCTTTATCAGGGATTATGACTTGCTATGTTGAGACAACATAGGCGGAGTTAACGGTCTCATTGGAAGACCAAGAATAAAGAGCGCCCAAATATCCATCATATGATTGCTTACATCATTGTTTGAGTTCTCCAATTTTGATGTTCTATGAACAAACCCTGTGTGAGATTGGGGTACAAAGGTAACATGCCTTGTACTGTGATCTAAACATTTTTTACTTGCTTTAGAATTTTTATTTTTACATAGTTACGATTGAACTGCTTCAGTACTTTTCTCTTGGTGAAAATACTCTCTTTGTTGCCCACCTTTTTGTATACCTGCTATAGCCTACAATTGCCTAATACATCTGCAATTTTTTATCTCTTTGTCATTGGCAAAAAGGTTCAGCTGGCGCGCAGGTTTTGCTGGTGTTTTGTTAATAAGGACTTCAGCTACATTGCAGCAAGCATAGGACTACTCATTAGTGATTTCTAAGAATACTAAAACAAGCAATTAACAGGCACTATTTCCTCATCCCCCTACCTTTCATTATTGACTATTTGACTCTTATTTTCTTTATTCCTTTTTCCGATGTTGATTCAGAGATTGGAGGATTTCAGTTGTGGGCAGATTTCAGAAAGTGAGCAGCTGCCCTCCTACCACCAAAGACCATGGCTGAGTCTTATCAAGGTTAGTCACAATGTGCATCCCTCAAGTTGTTTGATGTAATGACTTGCAACCTTGGTTGATTGATACATTGTGAATGTCATATATTCTCTGCCTTTGTTTCCCTTTGCTTTAGTATGCGCTCCCTTTGCTTTATGACGCATTTTCATTTTGTAAGAAGTAAAATTATGCTTAGATTAGAAGATTTTGTGTCTGCCTGGGGTGTTGGACAAGTTTGTGCCTTGGTTTCCTGTAGGTGGCCTCAAAGATTGAGACTGCTTGCTGCTGCACATGCAGCATGCTAACTAAAGTATGTTTCTGATCATGCAGTTCAGGATGCTAATAGAATATCTTTTTGAGAAATTTCCAAATTGGCAGGAGATAGGTACCCAGGCCATTCGGGACCTTCAGGTAACACGATCAGTGCAATGATGCAATTATTTGTTGTCATACACTAAAAAATTGTTTAGGATAAAATGATAAAATGATTTTTACACAAATGCCCTTAGCCTTTCAGTAGAGATTTTCTTGTAACCGTGTTGTGAAATTTTACACAATTCCTGGGAATATTCCATGACTTTAACAGATTTATTTTCCATAGCCATTTTAAAATCACTATTCTAATTTTGACAAAGAAGTATTTTGTCAAACAAATTTTGAAGCTTGGTCCGGCCAGTTAGGGCCCTTACCCTCTAAGTGACATAATAGGCCACACATGGGCCATAACATCAGGTAAACAGCATATCTATGTCATGTGTACTTCGGTTTAAACTACGGTAGTGAAATTGGCGCACACCCACAGCGCACACATGTTTGGAGTTGCGGTGCTGAATTTAACCCTTTCATCCTAAAGAAATGCCATAAATTGTAAGTCGCTTTGACTTTTTTTTTTGGTACATAGAAGATGTAAAAAAAAACGACTTATAATTTGGAACAGAGGGAGTATAAGAGTTCTGCGTGCACTTTGCGGTCTACGGTACTAAAGTCATAGACAGATCAAATTTGCGTTGCCATAATTATTTCACATACTATTTGCCGATCAAGAAACGAAGAACTTAAACAACACGGAATGAGCAGCGGCGGAAAAAGTTCCTCGCAGCAGCAGCAAAAATAGGTAAGGTCCACTCACGCTGCCCATGTAGTCATCTATTGTTCTTTCATTTTCCGCGGTTCTATCTTAGATACCATTGTGGCAGCCAATTTCTTTCCTTCATATTAAATCTGCATGTGCTTACACAATATGCTCTACTGTGTTATCTGCCATCTATATACTGTTGGGCAGATCAAGTCTCCAAGCATCTAAAAATTCCAAGGGAAGTATGAATGTCAGAATAGATTTCATACTTACCTTCAGTACCACGGATCTCATAATTAAGAATTAGTAGAAATAGAACACTACAATCGGTACTAAATCACACCAGTTCTTATATACCATCGCAGTTAACTATATTATCAGCTTAGGGCATGTGCCTCTGTTTCCTTATTTGATACTATTTTTCTTTTTACTTAAGATATTATCATTACCTATTACCTAAACACACCATTTGGATGGAGCCCCTAGCACAGTGATCATTGTCATTATGCTTCCTTCTAATTTTTTAGTGTATACATGGCATTGTTAAGTTATGCATATTTACATGTGCCCCTAGGACAATAATAATTGTCATTATGCTTCCTTCTAATTTTTATTATACACGGCATCATTAAGTTTTACATATTTACATGTACCATGCTTCTCAGATTGTTAGTGACCCGTTCTATTATGTAGGATCCTGAGGTATTCTGTGACCTACAAAATGCTGGTCGACGACATAATCAAATAATTAGTACATCCTCTATTGTTCCGGGCCAGCGAGATGCAAACTGGAACAAGAATTACCCCATATGTTTTCTTGTGTTTGGTATGTCTATATTTTAGAATAGAGTTACTAAGCCTATCTCCTTTTAAATAAATGCTATGGTGCCTCTACTTCCTAATATGTCCTGCTCAACTTCGTCAAACCTTGTGAAAGATGCTTCCACCTGATGTTAACTGCATGCTTCATGCCTTTAATTTACTCCAATTTTCTGATGTGGTAATTTTCGGTACATAGTTAAAATGGCCAGGTCTCTTCTTTTTCATTGCCTCTTTCTTTTCCTACTACTTGAGTTAACAATCCACAGTTTTCACAGAGAACAACTTCACGCCCCTGTTACCCTAAAAAAATAGAAAAACAAAAAAAACCTAATATTGAACAGAATATGCAGGAATCCTCATGTATCCTTTGCTACTTCACAGGTTACCTGTCCGGATGCAGTCACCACTCACCACACAGAACGCATGTGCCGCTACCAGGAATCTGGTAAATTTCTCCTACGCTCACATTGAGTCTCCTTCTCTTACACTTCACAGGCCAGATAAAACTAACAAAGGCAGATCCACAAACAGATTCATTTAGCAGGGACACCTCGATCTCCATGGACACTGACCTTTCGGACCGTGAACCAAGATGCTAGAAAGGTCGTACCGTTTCAAACAGAATGTATAATTACTCCAACTACCACCGTGTGTAAAGTGTGTACTCATGTGAAAGGCACCGTTGTTGCCTATCGTGCAGTCAGCAGTCTAATGTATAGAACCATCAGGTGCTGAACACTGCTATGCCAACTATAGACTGCCACCCTATGCTATTGGGTTAGAACATTACAACACTTATGAAATCCATGTGTCTGTAAATACGTAGACCCAGACTTCTTATAGTACGGTGGCAGATATTTATCGTGTAGACCCTCTCACGTTCGTAGAATATGCCGAGAACATTACAACACTTATGAAATCCATGTGTCTGTAAATACGTAGACCCAGACTTCTTATAGTACGGTGGCAGATATTTATCGTGTAGACCCTCTCACGTTCGTAGAATATGCCCGTGTTTAGTTGAAGGGAAAGTTGGAATTTGGGTACTGTAGCACTTTTGTTTTTATTTGTTAATTAGTGTTCAATCATAGACTAATTAGGTTCAAAACGTTCGTCTCGTAATTTTCAACCAAACTGTGTAATTAGTTTTTTTTCGTCTACATTTAATGCTCCATGCACGTATCATAACATTCGATGTGATGGATACTGTAGTACTTTTTGGAAAAAGATTTTGGAACTAAACGCGCGCTATATGTGCCTTCAAATCTGCAACAGATGCTGTCACTACTCTGGCAACCTATCCATGTTTATTTCCCCTGCCTAATCCTATTGCCATTCCAAGAACGAACACACGCTTGCCAAACCAGTTGCCTATTAGTTCCGCGTGCAATGCCGCGCGCCTTGCACTAGTTAATAAAGAACGTGCCAAACGACGAGGCGCTCGCCGTGCGGGCTGAGCACACGTCGGAGCTCCCCTGCAAGCACAGCTAGGTCTATTTATTTCAACATGCGATCCCGGAAGACGTCTTCGAGGACGCATTCTATCTTGAGGCAGTCGCCGCGGACGAAGCGTGACGGTGACCCCTTGAGCTCGCTCCGCTTGGCGACCTTGCTTGTGCCCCTGGTGCAGGACCGCGCCGCGTCGAACCGCGTACGCCGGCGGTCCCAGATGATGACGGTGCCCGCGAGGCCGGTGGTCTGGTCCAGAAGCAGGAGGCCGACGTACCCCCGCACCACCACGCCCTCCGTCAGCAGCCTGACGAAGGCGCCCACGTGGCCGCGCTCGCCGTCGCCGCCGTCGGAGCCCGGGTAGTATCGGATGGCCCAGTGGAGGCCGGCGACGGCGAACGCCGGGGAGTCTACGAAGCCGCCGACGCCGCACTGCTGCTCCTGCAACCTACTGAAGCCGCGGACGTGCACCACGTGCGTTCCGCTGGCCGTTCTAGTCACGCGCATCGGGAGAATTTGGCACACGCCGGGCAAGTCTTGCCATGCACAGACACGCCAATGGCGGCAGACCGCGCTGAGACGGACGCGGTCTTTGCAGGAAGGGAGACGACGCAGGATCTGGCCGTACAGGTCCGAGGGGAGATCGCACCAGCTCAGAACTCCCCCCTCTTGCTCCTGCAACCTGCTCAAGCCGCGGGCCGTTGTTCTAGTCACGCGTATCTTCGACGTCGTCGACGCCGCCGACGCCATTGTGCGCACGTAACGTAATGCTGTTGCTCTGTGTCCACACGATGTTGTGCCTGCGTTTTTATGTGCCATCGGGAGAGAGCCCCGGCCGAGTTTGAAGCTGATACGGACGTCCTGTCCTCGTACAAGAAGAATCTGAAACGGATACTGGTAGATATCTCGTAGTATATGCTATATATTGCTCGGCCTGAACGAGCTTCTTCATGAATATTTTCGACTTTGGGGACTGCTAGAGAGCATGCACCTGAATGTGAGCAGGGAGGAAGAAGACCAAATTATTTGGACACGGGAAAGTTCAGGACAATACTCGACTAGCTCAGCTTATGATATTCAGTTCGCGGGGCAAACTCTTTCTAATTTCCCAAAACTCGTATATATCCTCTGCGTTCCAATTCCCACTCTCAGGTGCTCCTCGATCTCCTCTACGCACTCCTCACCGCCAACACCGTATCAATTTGGTACCGGAGACCTCCACGGGCGCATCGCCTCGCATGGCCGGTGCTCCACCCGATCCTGTGGCCATGGACACAAGCCCGATCGCATCCTCGGCCAGCTCACCACCCTCAACAACCGGATGGACTCCCACGATAAGCTCATCGCGCGCATGGAGAAGTATCGATCCGGTACAGAAGACAACGACATTTTGGATGAGACCGCGGGGTGCGATCTCGATCGCGGCGGCCGCGGGGGCGGCGGGGATGCCAACCTCGGCGGTGGTGACGACCACGACAACCGCGACCTCGACCACGGTCGCACCTGGAATTAGTTGTGTGAGCGCACCTTTCGCGACCGCGGGGACGGGCACGACCGCTTCGGCCGTCGCGAGTCGCACGACCCCTTCCCTCGGCGCCGCGACGGTCCCTACGGTCCTGATGGCCGCTATGGCCGCCACCCCTACTACAACCGTGAAGACCGCTACCTCCGCGACGACCGCGGCGGCTGCTATGGTCGTGATGGCCACAATGGCCTCCGCGAACCACAATGGTCGCCCAAGATTCCCTATCCCACCTTCAATGGGGAGTCGGATCCTCTTACCTGGTTGAACAAGTGCGATAATTACTTTCGGGGGCATCGCACTTTGGAGAAGGAGAAGAAGGTTTGGATGGTGTCCCTGCACCTCGACAGCGCTGCAGCTGACTAGTACTACCAGATGGAGAGCGACTTCGGCCTCATCTCCTGGCCGCGCTTCGTCGACTTCGTCAATCTGTGCTTCAGGCCGTCCATCCGCACCAACTCCCTTGGGAAATCAAAGGCCCTGCAGCGCACGGGCGCGGTGGAAGAGTGCCAGTGACACTTCCTGGCGCCCAACGGCGGATCCCTAAAAAAATTTAGGGGGCTGAACAAAAGTACGACAGCAACATGTCTCCGACTGCTGCTCGATCTTAAGTCTCAGCCCCACATACACGATAGAACTTTGTCTAAAAATTCAGGAGGGCTCCGGTATCGGTAGGGGGGCTCAAGCCCCCCCCCCACCGTTGAATCCGCCGCCGCTGGCGCCGTTGTCCCGCTGTGAGGAGCTGACCAATTAGCACAAGATCGACCTCTTCACTAGGGGTCTTGGCCAACCATTGGCCTCCGACGCCGAGCTGTAGCACCCTACTAATATCCAGACGACGATGAGCTTGGCACGTGCATATGAACATAGCCAGCTTGAGGTCTCCTCCACCAACAGCACAGTGGTGCCCAAACCCTCGTGTCGCCACACCATCGCCTCGACGGGTATGGTGGCTTCTGGAGCACCGCCGGCGGATAGCAAGCCGTAAGGGCCTTGCCCTCGTTTTCATCGTCTAATGCCGGCTGATATGCAGGAGAAGCGGAAGAACAGACAGCGCTACTTCTTTTCGAAACCGTACTCCAAGGACCACAAGTGCGCCGCCAAAATGGTCTTCCTCTTAGAGTTGGAGGACAGCGAGGAGGACACGCTGGGCGACACCATCCCTGACCTAGAGATCTCCCTCCATGCGATGACCGGTGTCGTGGGGTCGTAACCACGGCATGCATTGTTGTTCGTCGAGTGTCACTGAGTGTGGGTCTTTGGTGGCTCTGGTAGACTCAAGAACACAGAAGAACACCAATTGTACACAGGGGTTTATCCTGGTTCGGGCTATCAGGGCCCTACATCCAGCAGCAAATGATCTTTGTATTCAAGAGCACCCAAATCTAGGGGGTACAACAAGAGTGTAAGAGATTTGGAAGGGGATTGCTCGGTGCTAATCTAAGGCTCATCGGTGATGAGGTCTCTTCACCGTATGAGGGGAAAAAGACGGCGGTGTGGAGGAGCTCTCGGTACTCCTCTCGGAGTGGCTCTGCTCTCGGTGGAGGACTCTGTTTCATATCTGATTTCATCCTCCCCCTATCTAGGATCCGATCTCCCCTTATATATCGAGGTAGGTTGGGTACATGGTGGTTTGGGGTTTTAGTCTATGGTCTACATGCACTGAAGTCCAAGAGGGTGCTGTTACGACATGGATAGACCTTGGCGTTTTCATGGTGTCAGAGAAGCCCTGGGCGTCGTCCAGTTGTTATGCTCTGATGCTTGGACCGTCAGATCTTGTCGGCTTGGACCGGCCTCCACCAGGTGCACCTTCTAGAGGCTTCTTGCTGACGAAGGCGTCCAACTTGTGAGACTGACGAGCGGGCCCACAAGCCCCCGATCCCCTGAAGCCATCGGAGGGGTCTTATCACCTTATGTCATGCCCTATGTGTGACTTTGTCAAAGAAGTGGATGACAGCACCGTGCCCGTTGGGCAACACTAAAGAGCCCCTGAGCCTTGGTGGCTCGGGGCGGTGTCCTCCAGCCTGGCCTTTAGGTTGGACAGGAGGCGTGTCCGAGGATCACGCTCGAGCCACCTTTGATTAGGAGCCTGGGGCTCAGGCGAGCCCTTGGGCCCAGAGCAGAGGCTGAGGGCGTGTTCGGATCTCGCCCGATCCTTTGGCCGAAAGGTGCGTGCGAGCGCACCTAAGGGGTGTAGCCCCCAAGCCCCTGAGCGATCGTGGAGGGATTGGTTGGGGGTCCTTCCATCTAGAACCTCTTACCCCGGGACTTGACATATCCCTATGTTATGATCTCGTCAGGAGCCCCCGGGCCCTTTGTGGCCTCACGGGTCGAGTCTGCGATGGCGTCGAGGGGCTAAACCCGATCATTAAGAGTCCAGGCCAGCCATGGCGGGGATGGCTTCCGCTGACGAGGGACGGATCCCCCTCTAAGCGTTTCCAAGTATGGTTGGAGCGCTCAGCTGTCGGGGCTGAGCGTTGATGGCGAACCGCGTTGCGCAAGTATGGGCCCGAGCGAGGGTCCACCGAGCTCGTCTGGGAGCTATCGGCCTTAGGCCTAGGGGTACCCTCCTTTCTGACCTTGGCCTGCTATGGGTCGAGTGATCGGGAGCGTCTGGGCTCTGGCTCAGGGCCGTCCAATCACACGGCGCGCCATGCCCTCCTAGGGGCTCGATAATAGGCCTTGGTGGCTCAGGCCAACTTTGGCAACATCGGTCTTGGTGCGGAGCATGCCCCGAGCGTTGATAGGACCCTCGTTGGGCCCGCCGCTCAGTGACTCCAGTTCCAACTTCGGGAAGTTGGCTTTTGGGGTGCACCATCGGGCGCTCGTTGATCGGGAGCCCGGGATCTCCGTCAGGGGAGTTGGCGCAACCCCTGAGACCATCATGGGGCCTTGAAAGGTCCTAAATGGCAAGAGGGGGGTGAATGGCCTAATAAAAAATCTATAAAACACTTAGAGCAACAAATTAGACAATTAGAAAGTGAAGCTTTTTGCTCTAGCTCTACTAAGTGTTGCAAGCCACCTATCCAAGCAATTCTAGTATATTATGATCTCTATGTCAAACAATGTCTAAGTCACTACTCTCTAAATTAGTGAGCTAGAAAGAGCTAATTACTTTTAACTAGAGAGCAACTACTAGCAACTACAACTACCACTACACAAGTATATATGTAAGTAATACAAGTGATAGAGATAGTTACCAACATCGGCAAGATATAATCAATCACAATATGAATATCTAATGAACACCGGGAGATATCCAATGAGACAAAGGACACACGATTTTTCTCCCGAGGTTCACGTGCCTGCCGGCATGCTAATCCCCGTTGTGTCGACCGCACACTTGATGGTTCAACGGCTAATAGGTGTTTCACAAACCTAGCCCAACAAATGGGCACCTCAAGAACCGACCCACAAGTGAGGGTAACTCAATGACATGAGCAATCTACTAGAGTTACCCTTTGGCTCTTCGCCGGGGAGGGCACAAGACCCCACACAAGATCACAGGAGCCGGCCACAAACAATCACCAACACGTGCCAATGATCCAACACTGCTCCAAGCCGTCTAGGTGGTGGCAACCATCAAGAGTAACAAGAAAACCGCAGCAACCATGATCCCCAAGTGCCACTAGATGCAATCACTCAAGCAAATGCACTTGGAATCACTCAATCTCACTTTGATCTGCACTATCAAGCGAGGAGATGAGTGGGAGGGAGTATGCTCAGCTCAAAGGGATGTCAAGGATGTCAAAATGACAAGTGGAGACACCCAAAGCCGGCCAACACAAATAAATATAGCTCCCTCCAAAAATCCAACCGTTACTCTTCTCTGCGTGGTGACCGGACGCACTGACTGGACACGCTGAGTCTGTGTCTGTCAGCCGAGTTCGATCAACCCCAGCCATCCACGTGTCTCGCATTTTTGAACTCTGGCCATCAATCTCCAACGATTAGCAACTGCGCCAAATGGTTTATAGTGCGACCGGACGCGCTGCTCCGCAGAGCGGACGCGCGCCACACTGGCGTCCGATCGCATCCAGAGAGCTCTTGGAGCGATCGGACGCGTCTGATCACAGCTGATCTGACACACCTAGAGTCCAGTCACATTTCTATCACATAGCCCCATGCCACGTCATACTAACTGGATGCCCTACGTTGGTCACCATCGCGTTCGGTCGCCGTGCGCCACCAGCGCCCGGTCGAGCCAGCCGAGCTGGCCAGACCTAGG